TTTCCTAGTTGCTTTTTCTAGAGGTGTGGAAAATTATAGTATATTTCCATGACCTGGTCTTATTTTCTACTAAGAAAACGGGTACCTACTGTTTTCACTATTATGACCAAGAAGTTAGAACCTAGTGCTTCTGTACGGTTCCTCACTATCGATTTTGATACTTCGAAAAAATTCATCTCTAACTACTGGATTAGTAGGGTCTTTTTTAAAGGACTTTACTGGGAGTATTGATTTGTACATGTAATTACATACATTTGAACCTCCAACTCCAGTAGAAGGAGGTCTACACTGAAGCCGGTGTATGCATTTATGTACTGTTGTAACTTCAGTGTGGTAACCAATGTCCTTAATTCAATCTAGTAGTTTCCTGTTTATGTACTTCGAAAATTGTCAGGACGTGGGAATATGTTCTGTCTATGAGAAATTTTGTCTTAAAACGGAGGAAGTGTTGCTTGTTGCATAGTACAAAAATGCATCGAAATATCTGTACTGCACTACGCTCTTTCCTGGTCATTTTGTAGTTACAAACTGCAGCTCTAAAACCCGTATCATTCAAGCCTACTAACCGTGGCTTTTTCCCCTCAAAATAATAAACATATTTGCTTTGAAAAACAGAACATTTTTGCGTAGTCACACTTTCGCATTTTAAAACAACAATGCTTCCACTTTCATCACATCTCGGTGAATTTTTAAATTTTTCCAGTGACTTAACTGCTTTTTTGGAAGGTTGGGTTTCATACCACCATCACATCTATTAAATATCAGAAACGTTTATGCCCACTGCTTCGTACTATTGGCTAGGCAACTTAGTCTGAGGGGTTGCAATGAGTGGCTTTACTATTATAAGTGACACTCAATTTCGATAGGCAAAAGACTGGGGACAACAAAACTACTGAGGATGTTAGTTAAATACGAATTTACGCTCTGGAAAAGTGGGCTGTTAAGTTGATTTTTTTTTCACTTCGATCACCACCTCGTAACCTGTTTTTCTTCTTCTAGAAACGACTGCAACTTGTCTGGCTGTTAGCTTGCCTAGCATTGGCTTTTTTCCCTCTTATGCCATTAGTGGGTTCGTTTGCCTCCCCGCTCCTTGTGTGAGTCATCAGCGTTGTTTTTCGATTTTTTTACCTGTTACCCCACCGCTTTCTTGTTTAGTTTAAATTTCTTAGCTAAAGTCCATTTACTTCCAGTGCTCGCATTTCATTTGCATTAGCCGTAGTTATTGGCACCGTATGGCGTATGTGTGCTTGAGACCTGCTTTCTTTTGCCTTCAGACTTCTCGCGGGCTTATGCGTTTCGGTGGTTTCCGCAGCATTTTCTCGGGTATTTGCAACCCCTTCTGGCTCGCAGTGGAGCTTGACTCAACCCCAAAACTATCTGGTGAGTGATCACAAATTTTAACTTTTACTGGTTATCTCCTTTTTACCTGGTTTTTGGATCTGCAATAATTGCCGAAGCCATCCAACCGCATACCTAGTAAAAAAATTACCAAATTCATGTTTTTCTTCCAACAAGAAATTGTTATGCTGATTTTTCATACACCACTGCGGAATACAAAGTTGTTAACCTTACGGCGAATTTCAACTTCCACCAAGGATGCCTGTACGGTATCGTGTCAAGTCATCCTTTTAAGATGCTCCAGCGTCTTCAGAGCCAATCGCCGTTATTGCCTTCGTGCTGCCGGCGAGCTGCGTTCTGTGTTTGTTTGTTTGCTTGCCTGCTCTGCCACACTGAAGTCTTCGCCTCTGTGTGCTTGCATGATTCAGACTGATTGTCAAAACAGACGCGCTGACTCACTCTTTCTGTCTACTGTGCGTGACTGTTCACGCAAGTACGCTCGTGCGCCGAGCCTCATTCTCTCGCAAACGATCTTTGCGCCTATATGGCCAGCTGTATCTGCGGTGTCACATACGCGTACAAAAAGGACCGCGTCCGCCTACCTGAAAGGACGTCTTCACTGGTAAGATTGAAGTCCGGCTGTATCACGCTTGGAAACTCGGGGTCATGTAATCGGTTTGCGACTCCTGCTCTTACCCGACTTATTACGGAGTATCGAAACCGCATCAAATCGATGGATTTAGCAAAATAAGCCTTCTCTAGAGATTAGCAAACTCAGTAAAGATATTTTAATACCCCTTATACGTTGTTAGAAATGTTAATTTGTTTCATGTTTGAAACCCTTTCATGGCAGAGCAGTCTATCTAGACTTTTTACACTTGTATTTTGATTTGCAGTCTTTTTGGTTAAGATAAACTTTTCAGGTAATTGAACACAACAGTAGATCCGTATAAGTTAACAACTTCATGCTCGGTGGGTCGCAGCGACCTAGCATTTCACTCATATGAGAGTCGAAAGCAGCTGTTTCGAGTCAGACCCTGATTGTCATTGTGCGACACAGCACGACTCGACGCCAAAACTATTCACTCATTGGTAGCTATGTCGCACAAGATTTGGCTCTAAGTGCTTGTGCGGGCAGTGATCCAACTGTCATCTTTGGTGGACAGAACCCTCTTGACGTGATGAACTTCGGTACTTGTCAAGTGGCTTAAAGCAGTTCCATCGGCTTGCCTTATCAGCCTTTTGCTCACCGTCCCTGTCATCTTCACCGCACACGAAATCGCAGGACCATACCTGAAGATAACGATGCAAGTGGCAGTTGACAGTTGCTAGATCAATCCTCTTCCTCTTCTGTGGCAGTTTTCTGCTTCACGATTCTCATAAATTGTGTCCACGGTCGTCTTCAATTCAGGGTACACCAGCGTGCGTCTTCCTGTTGCATTTGCCATCTTCGCATCGCTCGAAGGCGAGTGAATCCGGTGGGATATTTATGTTGCCGAACATATCGCAGTGCACTCGCGTGCCAGACTGTTTAGTGGAACAGGTTTCCATTTTTTCCGGTCGTGTACTTGTGAACACCGTTATTTTGCGGGCTGGTTTTTGCAAAAGTACACCGGCTTGTTCTGCCACCTTTATTTACCCTGATCTTTCTACTGAGGCTCCTATTTCTTGGCGGATTTCTCTTAAAGTGCCCCTTCCTGCATCTCCTTCTATCGTGACTTAGGCCCTTTGTGCGACGCTGACCGGCGTACTGGTCTATCTGGTTCGCTCCTTGGTTGCGGAATCTCTCCCAGTGCCCCTTCTGGTCCACTTCCTTAGCTGGCTCCTCTTCTGTGAGTGTTATGTCTCGTCCTCTTCTCTATTTCGACTATCGAACCACCTGATTTCATGTCTTTTTTTCTCTCAGTGCTCCATAATTTGACTGCATTGCATATTAATGTAGTTGGTGCTTACGTTACTTCTAAAAAAACACCCCACTATGTGGCATTAGCGGTAGAAACGGCCAAGTACACAGTCAACATCATTCATTTCCTCGACTGAGTTGACGTTTACTTTTGCTTTTCTTTTAGTTGTTTCTCCATTCTTGGCAATATACTGCGCAGAGGACACGGCGAGTACCAAGCTGACGAGCCTGGCTCTGGCATTCTTCGTACCGTTCAACTTGATGAACTTATTGTATCCTTTGACGACATATCGCCTATCTCATCCATCTGTCCTGAAGTGACGGGCTTTGACCACACTATTGACAGGGCTCTCTACTATTGTACTTACTGTGATTTCATTGGGCCCAATTGTGAAAAATTTGTGGCAGCTCGGCGACTCGTAGCTTATGCGTTAAGCAGTCGTGGGTGTGTGTTTTCGACCGTCGATTTCGATGAAATCCACCAAGTACACCAACAGGTTATTGCAGAAGGTGACAGGCCTCCGGGAATAGATTATAGTTATAGGGGACGTAGTTGGCGCCAAATGCACTCTTCACCTTCGCCCGGGGTCAAGAAGACCAAACGGGACCCGGCGCTGGCCACTTTCTCCAGTGCGAGCCAGAAGCACCGCCTAACTTAGTCTTATGTGACGGTAGACTTTTCGCGGGTACTACCGCACTACCTATCCTAACTCACCCTCAGTCGTGGGTAAGAATCCCATCGAGGCCACCGAATTCTTAAAAATTGTATCAGATAAACTATTTAACTCTACCAGTGTGATTTGTCCATATATTTACTTACCTATGAGGAATTTTATTCCGTGCTTTTTCGGAATAATTGAACGTCCCCAGTTGGACTTCTTTTCGCCTTCGTACTTTATACATGTGTTTTTGTCGGTTTGAAGTACTTCTGACATACTTACTTGGATTGAGGCAAATGTTCGCATCCCAGGTACATGTGTAGATAGAGAAGTAGAAGGCGTGGCGATCACCGGAATCATACTGTTTACTTGTCTAAGCTTTCGGGCTCCTTCTAGAGTCCTTCGTCAGAGATAAA